TTCCCCTATAGCGCATGTCTTTCGACAGTGCTAACCACTGAGCCACCGTGTTGCCATATATAAACATATAAAGTGTTTATTTTAGAATATAATAAAATATCACTGTATTACTGTTTGTATTTTGATTAAATATATACGGGACTATTAAACAGAAGAGACTTCTTTAAAACATTAAAAGTGTGTATTTGTTGATTTTACTAGCCTATGTTTAAATATTTATACTGAACAAGGTAAAAACGATTAAGAAAATCATTATATTACAGTGTTCCCTTGTTTCATTAATTTGTTTGTAAACGGTAACACATGCCGTACATAAAGCTGTAAATTATATTATATTTTTATAGATGGATGCTGTGGATATCTGTGTAGATATATATTTATTCCTCTGCAGGATGAGCTGAACTTGAGTGAATGTGGCTGGGCTACACTGGGCATGGAAACAGATCCAGATGTCCTGAGCACACTGCTATGGATCTGGCTGGACAAACTCAAGGTCAGAGCTCACTGTATGGTCATTATGCCACAAAAACATGTCTGAAAACAATAAGCAAACTTCTTTTTGTTTTATGCATAACAGGACCCCATTCTCAGTAAAGATGACATCGAGAGGCTGACTTTAACATGGCCTGCACAAAACCCTCTCATTACACTACACAAGGTGAACATTTATACACAACTCAGACACAAATAAAATAAATATATATTAGTTAGATTATCCCTCCGGTATGTTCGTTATGTAAAGGTTTAAAATAACTCTTACGTTCAGTATTGTTTTCATGTTGAGACACGACAATTTGTTCCTCTGTAAGTCCACACATGTAGCGAAGTGACAAAAAAGCTCAACTTGAACTTGATAAATAAATAAATGACTAAATAAATAAATAAATGAATAAATAAATAGATAAATAAATATTAAATAAAAATATAACATCAAAACATTTTTGGACCCATGATTTTGAACTACATTATGATCAGTTTTTGAAGTGATTTTATGTGTATCGAAGTGTCTTAAATATATTTTGGCATTATAAATTCAAAAATATATGAGTAAAATATTGTTCCTTTATTATTCAGGGTAACAGGTAAATTTTATATAAAACTAAACATCCTTATCTTTCCTTATTAAAATATTTAAAATAAATAAGCAATCAAATTAACTGTTATTACATTTACAAATAATAATTAAAAATGTCTTGCTGACAAATGAGTAAAACCTAGTGGGTTTCATGATAGTTATAGATCATAAATATTTAAAATGACATTTATTTAGTATTTTGGGGCTGCACTGTCATCCTTAAAGTGATAGTTCACCCAAAAATTTAACTTCTGCCATCATTTGATCACTTGTTTAAAACCTATTTAGGTATTTTTTCCTACCATGGAAGTCAATGGGTACCAGTATTTAGCATTTTTACAGATATCTTTTCTTGTGTTCAACAGAAGAGAACAAACTCATAAAGGTTTAAAACAACTTAAGGAAGAGTAAATGATGAGGTGATTTTCATTTTTGGTGAACTATGCCTTTAAATAGAATCATTTAATATGCCATCAAATCATTGTTGTACTGACAAGGTTTTACTTTACTATTTTGTTTACTATTTGTTTACTAAGATTACTATTATTACTTTGTGTTACATTTTAGTGGATGTCATCAATATATATATATATATATATATATATATATATATATATATATATATATATATATATATGAGAGCAATATCACACGAGTAGCAGTGGGATATGGCTGTATATCGGCACTGGTGGGAGCCGTGCCGCAGGCCGAGTGCCTTAGTGCCCCCATCGCACTGCTATGAGTATGATATTCCGTTTATACAACAGTTTGACGGCATAATTGTGTATATAAAAACAAAATCAAACATGGAGAGTCTCAAAAACCCTTTTGTATGAGGAACTACTTTCTTCCGCATTGGATTCAAATCATAAGCTGACAGTTAAACAGCTGAGCAAGCATCTTTTAAACTTTAGATCTGTAGTGTCTGCTTTTTGCTGGTTGTATGTGGGCGGAGTAATACACAAAGGGTAAAGAGGCTGTAGAGGTGCTCATATTACTTAAATATATCACGGCTATCAGCCAATCAGATTCAAGAACCAGACAGAACTGTATATATATTCTAATGCACAATAGAAAATGTTACATTTAAACTAGTATTAAGCTTGACCCAAACAGAAATATAATGAATGCATGCAGAAAAAACCCTAAGAAAAAATATTAAGTTTGCATGTGTCATATTTACATAAGCTACCTGACAATCGTATACAGCTGTAAAATATCTGTGTTGTTTTAGATTCAGCGTCAAACTGTCTTCTGTCTGCTGGACTGTGTGGGTCATGTTGTGGTTCGGTGTCCTCAGTTTGAACATGCGATACTACAGAGACTCATTCGAGCATTAACCAGAGTAAGTATCCAACAAATCAACGGATAGTAAACAATCAGTTTATCCGAGATTATTATACTTTTTCCCTTGTGTTACAGCGCCCTCCAGAGGAAATAGAGAGAAACAACATCTTATTGCGGGTCCTCAGAGCGTCAACGAGAGAGCTTTACCTACAAAACCACCACTCAAACACTACAACAGCTGCAAAGTGCTAGACACTGGGGTTAAACCATGAGGAAACTAATAAAAAGATCTATATAAAGAAGAGTTATACGATTAATCTAGTTATTGATTTGCATTTCAGTCATGTCCAGGAGGAGTATTCAAACACTTATTAGTAATAAACCTTTTTTAAATACAAAATATCATACAAAACACCATTTGCAGAATGAACTAATTAGGTATTTTGTGTCTGTTGAAGAGGAATATTACAATTTAATATATAAACACACACACACACACACACACACACACACACACACACACACACACACACACACACAAATATAATCAAGTAAAACCATAATGTAAACTTCAATCCTCAATGAAAATTATATATATATATATATATATATATATATATATATATATATATATATATATATATATATATATATATATATATATATATATATATATATACAATTTCTAATTGAGGATTAAAGTTTACAATAAGGTTCTATGTGTTAATATTAGTTGAACATTAGCTTTATAAAATAACAAATACACATACACATACAAAAAAAAAAAAAGAAAACTGATTTTAGCCATAGTTTTACTACAAAAAAAGCAAATGTTTTTGTATTTAAGCTGTCCACGAATGTACTTATTGTGAATCATAGTTTAACCGTGGTATCTGCAAAAATGATAATCAATCAATACCCTTAAAGAGGGGTTCTCAATCTCGATCCTGGAGGCCCAGTATCCTGCAGATTTTAGCTCCAACTTGCCTCAACACACATGCGAGAATGTTTCTAGAAAGCCTAAGCTTGACTAGGGTCTGATTGGGGTTAGAGATAAAATCTGCCGGACACCCGACCTTCAGGACCGTGATTGAGAACCCCTGCCCAGACACCCACCCACATTGTTAAAATAATTGCACATATGATAATCGTATGCAGAATTAAACCAACAAAGTCAAATGTTGCAACAGGAGGATGGATGCAACAACCTATAGTAACAGTTGCAACATTGATTGAAATGTATCGATAAACAAATTCTAAAACATCAGGTTGGATTTTATTTATTTATTTTTCGGGTAAAAGACTAACTGTAAATTGGTTAAATTGGCCATATAAATGCAGACATTAAGAGAATAAGCAACAACCATGTTTTGGTCGATTATCGACCCTACAGAAAACCTGAACAAAAATATCTTTACTAAAAATCTAGACTGAATCTATACTAAATTACTTCTTTGAACTTTGAAATGAATGAATTAATCAAATAATTCATTCTTTAAAATTAAGTTACATTGAAACTGTAATCAAATTAAAATTGTACATATTTTATTATGGCAAGCTTTTAAATGAATTTTGTAATTAGGGACAGTTGCAACAGCATGAAGAGCAACAGCTGAAGAGTTCAGAGTACCATCTTAAATTTTCTTCTAAAATAGTAATTTTCTTAGGGTCCTATGTATAGGTTCAATTTACATTTAAGACATAAAATATGTTTTTTTTTTAATCGCTTTTAAGGTAAAATATTTTAACCTAAAATTAAGCGGCTGTGGAAAAATGCTGATTTTAGAGGGAAATTTTAGATGGTAGAGGTTTTTGCATCTCTTTGACTGTCCCTTCTCTGTCAACCATGATTAAACTTCCTTTGTAGCTTTAATGCTTGACAGCTAAAACTATTTTAAGCTAAGAAAACATGGATTTGAATTACAAGTATGTATAATATTTCACATAAGCAGATTAGAAAACATAAGAAATTTTCTGAACAATAAAAAATATATAACCTTTTTTTTTTTTTTTTTAACCTTAAATTGAGTTTTATATTAAAGCAATAATCAGATATGGCTAATTTCTTTCTGTATAAAGGAGAGTCTAACTGAGAATATGTAGCATAACATTTCTAGTTCAGAGGTGTCCGAACTCAGTCCCGGAGGGCTGGTGTCCTGCATAGTTTAGTTCCAACCCCAATTAAACAAACCTGAACCAGTGAATCAAGCTCTTTCTAGGTCTCCTAGAACAGTGTTTCTCAACCACGTTCCTGGAGGACCACCAAAGCTGTTTTGGATGTCCCCTTACTCTGTCACACTCATTACAGGTCTTACTGTCTCTGCTAATGAGCTGATTTGAATCAGGTGTGTTTGGTCTGCGCAATATATTATATTGATCAATGTTGTTTAGTCCAATAGTGATCGAGGAACATAATGCAGAAATAAAACATAATTAAAAGTATCTCTAAAGGCAAAAGTTGTTGAATTTTGTTAATTAATACCTTAATTTGTTTAATAATTAATCGCACTGGATTCATAATGAGCAGCTCCTCGTGAACTTCTAACCAAAGGAATGTCACTCAAACTGACATCAATCGCCATGGTGACGGCGTCATAGAGATGCAAAAGAAAACAATTATAAACAATAAAAACAGTCG